AATTTAAAAGAAAAACATAATATCATCTCACAAGTTGCATTGGTTTTTATGATTTATGCAAATTTCTTATTAGGCCTGCGGATTGCAGAGCACATACCTTTCCAAGGCCTTTGACATCAGCAGCTATTGTGTGAGGTTGCTATTTGAATGTAATGATAATAGTAGTTGTTGTTCAGCATGATGAAAAAACTATTCACATTCTAAGTGAAAAATGTGAAGATAATCTGACAGAAAACCACCTGCGGACATGGTCTTGTCTCCTTTTATTTCTTCTGTTTTCTACAAAGGATCCGAGTATTTATTTAAAGTGCTTTAGCAGGATATCTCAGTGAAAGCTCTGACAGTCTGTTTACAGTTCACTTCTGCCCAGGGGCAGTAAAGGTAGATTGTAGGATAAGCAAGGTGACTTGCAGGCAAGAGGAGGAGGATGTGTGGTAGGATTATTAATGTTGAAATAAATCTGGGTAGAGTGACATGTCTGCAATAGTACCATGGGTTATAACTTAACAAGAATTTGTGTGCACAAATCTGTAATTCTTATCAATCCTTTATGGTAAATGAAACTAAAATTTAAAGAGAGGAAATGAGAAGGATGCACAAAGATCTACATGACAGTATTAAAAAATCTTCTTCCAGCCCAAAGACATTTAATCCTTGTTTGTCAAAACTATTCTGTCTGCATGAAAAGTTGGCCCAGGGCCCCAGAGCTTCAAGTTAAGGAGGGAGAAGGAAATAGCAGACGAGGAGGCAGCTGCCATTTGGGTTGTTGCACCTGAGTGTTTCTTTTCTTACCCAAGTACTCAGCCTTCTGCTCTCCCTTTCATGCTGTAGGCGTGGGTATGTGCCCGCTCTGACCAGTTTTATTCATTCATTGCTGTAAGAAGTGTTTGCTTTGTGCTCTCACGGTGCAGAAAAGGAGGTGCCCGCACACTTACCTGTTGGCTTATTGTTCTGCACACAGTGGCTCTTGTGCACAGTAGTACTCTGTCCTGGTGTTTGCACTGGGAGAGTCAGGTGTTTCAAGTCGTCTTGCCCTTCTTAGGCCCTGAGCTTCAGGGCTTATATGCCCCTGAAATGCTCTGCTTTCTGGAATTTGAATATTTCAGTCCATTTGATTTATTTCTTGGTAAATTCCACTTTGACTTAAGAAAAGTTGACTGAAAAGTTTATCTCAAAATCCTACTTTAAAATATATGGTATCTTCCTTATACTGATCATATTTTAAACATCTGGTCCTGGAGGAGAGCCAAATACGAATAAAGCGATAACGTGCAGGAGATCCAGCAAGAACACAGCCACATTTCAAGTTGAAAATATATTGAACTGGTAATACTTGGAATTAGATTCTCCCAAACAGATTTTGGGAATTCTGAATTAGCTTAAGTATCATATAGCCAAGGATCAGAGCTTGACTTTAACCAAGAGGTGTAGTAAAAGCAAGCATAAGACTGTTTCAACATAGTATTTTAGAAATTAATTCTATATTAATTGAAGCACAATTAAGTAGAAAAATTCTTAAGCAGGAAAAACAGGAACATTCTTCCCTGCTCCTCATTTTCATCTCCATTCTCACTTAGATTCCCCTTTCCCTCCATCTTTTGAATGCATTCTTTCAAAATTTGTATTTTTGGTTTTTGTGTGTATCTTCATGTAATTTTAGATTTACACATAGGATATTAGGATATTAAGATATTTCATTTTGCTACTTCTTTAGACACTAGCTTTGTAAGATCCAAGTACTTCAAGCACTGCTTAATACTTCATGGTAGACATCCACCATAGTAAAGCTGTTTGCTCTCAAATGGTAGTTATTATTATGTCACACTGCTACAGTGACTACAAATGTGAGCTCAAGATTTCAAATGATAACATTGCATTTTATTTTTTAATTGGGCTTCTTGTGTCAATTTGGTGTTTCAATACTGCACTGAAAAATGTTAACAGTCAAGTAACTAAAACATGAAATTTGTATGAGAATTATCTACTTGTTCGAACCTAGAGAAACATCACTTATTCAGAACTATTTCATAGGAGGCTATAACTACCCTGATGATTTTTGCTTGAGAAAATATTAAAGTGGCTCGGTGGCAGATGTCAGCCCTGATACCTGGCATCTTTGTCCTGCCATCTTTGTGACCCACTTCCAGGAAAATATTGCGATAATAATCCACCTTGCTATGTCATTCAGTTCAGGTTACATGTGGAGCCTCTGAGCCTTTTGGGGTAAACATGTGTAAACTTGGCCGGTGCCTTTGATGTTGGTGGTGGAGATGGGTGGCAGATTGGGCAGAAGTGAGTGAACCCAGTTTGTGTCCTATGAAAGTTTGCAAGTTAGACACATGTGCTATACACCTTATGTCACTGAAACTTTGTCCCAGCCACTAGGTGAGGAAACCCCATCACCACATTCATTCAGACTTATCATACTTCCTTGCTAAAGTCTGATAACTTCGACACCCCAACTAAGTGCTTCTTTCTGCATTCCAAGGCCTTCCTGGCCTGACCCCACAATTGTCCACTGATAAGAACTCTAGTGGGTGCAGCTTCTTACACTCACTAGGGCCTGGGTTCACATTCTTGCTTCATCACTTTTTAGCTGGGTGACCTTGGGGATGTTCCCTAAATTCTCTCTTCCTTTTAAATGGCTGGTCTGTAAAACAGGTACAGTGTTTCACGTGTGTTGTGTGAGAATTAAATGAGATGATCATGTAAAACACTTGGAAGCATGGGAGGTATGTCGTAAGCACCTGTGAAGGGTCATTTAATGCACTGTATCTCTTCTCTCCCAGGTCCTCCCACAAAGAATGTACAGATCTCAGCTCCCTGACTCCTTCATGCTATTTCCCCACCTGGGCTGCACTCCTCTCTGTCCAGTCTACCTAAATCCTGCCTGTTGTTGCCCTTTCCCTATAGCAGTGATTTTCAACTGGTGTGCTGCAGAATGTTTAAAACATGCAATTCCTGACTATTTAGATACTGACCTCTTTTCCTTTAGATTTTCAAATTTTAAAAAAGTGGCACAGCCCTAACCGGTTTGGCTAAGTGGATAGAGCATTGGCCCCTGGACTGAAGGGTGCCGGGTTCAATTCCGGTCAAGGGCTCAATCCCTGGCCCCGGTCGGGGCATGTGCAGGAGGCAACCAATTGATGTGTCTCTCTCACATCGATGTTTCTCCATCTGTGTCTCACCCCTTCCCTTCCACTCTCTCTAAAAATCAATGGGAAAATATTCTTGAGTGAGAATTAACAATAACAACAACAGCAAATGACATAATAGCCATCCAATGTGAATGAATCAAAAGTATACCTATTGTTTTGTCAAATCAGAGTTTTAGTAACTAGTTGAGGTGTGCCATGAGATGCAGAGGGTTGGAAATCATTGCCCTAGTGTTGCCCTGGCAGTTCCTGGCTGTCCCATCACCTCCTCCCCGGGCCTGCCACCACACTCTGTTCACACTGTCCCGGCTGTTTCTCATGTGTTCATTCTGTCTCCTGAAGGGAACTCGAGGCTCTAGAGAGCAGAGGCCTTTCTTTCCTTATTCTTCTTTTGTCCCATGGAAAAGAAACATCTCTTTGATGTCCATACCAGGCATAGTTGTGCTTTTTTAAAACCATTGGTTTAGATTTGAGTTTGTGTTTCTATTTCCCTCTTTGCACTGACTGCTGGAGAGCTCAGGGCCAAAACTGAGGTTTACACTTAGCAGATGCATTGTGCTTCATGGGAAGTACAATTATTATTAATTTTTATCCATTTATTTGTGGCCCTGCCTTGTCTACTTTTAAAAACCTGTTATCTTGTCTTTATTTTGTGAGCATCTCAGATCCTTTTGAGAACTAAGTAGGGCACAGAGAGTACTTATTTTGGTTTGTAGCAACACGGAGGGAAGGCAGGAGCTGGGGCTCTGTGGAAGACAGACCTAGACTCAAAGCCACACCACCACTTACCCTGGCAGTGGCCTTGGGCAAGTTACTTCCACTCCCTGAGTGTCCGTTTTCTGCCCGACTCAGGAGAGAATGAAACCTCCTCATGGGGTAGCAGTGCTGTGCAAATAAGATCATGTGTGTGAGGTGCCAGGCACTGGACCTGGGTCTGGATGCTGCCCATTCCATCTTCCAGTGTGTCTTTGAGAAGTGAGCTATCCTGAGGCAACATGGAGAGACAGGGAGAGTATTGTGCTAAGTGAAATAAGCCAATCAGAGAAAGACAAGTACCACATGAACTCACTCATCTGTGGAATCTAATGAGCAAAATAAACTAAGGAACAAAATAGATCCAAAGACATAGAAGCATGGAACAGACTGGATTCTCAGAGGGAAGGCAGGAGTGGGTGGCTGGGTGGAAAGAGATCAACCAAAGAATTTGTATGCATAATGCATAACCCATGGACACAGACAATAGGGTGGGGAAGGCCTGGAGTGGGGGACGGGGGCTAGAAAGGGTCAATGGGGGGAGGGAACATATGTAATACTTTCAACAATAAAGATTTAATTTAAAAAATAATAAATAAATAAAAGTAAGCTCTCCTGGTAAACAGATATTCTAAATTATTTATTTAATTGCTATTAAAAAACCATATGCCATGTTTAAGAATTGGTGATCAATTCTAGCACTTATGAGAGCTTCATTCAGAGAACTCACGCACTCACGAGTTTGCTTAATGGGTAAATAGAGCTCACCTTTGGTGTCTGGGGAATTTTTATCCCCATTCTTGTCTTTGTAAAATCGCCTAATAGACAAAAGGCACTCAAGTATGAAAATGTGGCTATATTTTAAGATACTGATTGGAGTGGATGTTTTTCTCTTAGGTATAAACAATTTCTGCTGGATTCCTGGGTGTCAGAGAGTTAAAATTTTACCTGACCAAGGCTCGCTGGTGTCCACCACTTGCTACCTGGAGGTCAAAATTCCCTCTGCTGGTGGTGCTAGGATTGGGACTCCGTTTGGGTGCTAACATATGTGCTTCCTGTCTGACCTTGCTGTTGCCCTCTTTTCCCCACCAGCCTTGTAGTGGGGCCTGGGAAGCTGCATCCTGTGGGAAGATGGAAGATCAGGTAACAGCCTCCGGTCAGGCTCGGAAATATGGGAATGCCTTCTCAACCCGGACTCTGGTCATGTGAGACGTTCCCAGACAAGCATTATGGTTTCAGAACACTTCACGTCGGCTTAGGATATGTCGTTCCTCTACATGAAACTTTTCATGAAAGGGAGAAGAACCTATTTTTGTTGTGGTACAACAGTTGAGAGCAGCACCAAGTGCATTTTAGGTGGATGAAATCTTATCAGATTTCACCCAACTAAAAGGATTTTTTAAAAAAAATAAATAACAGTCTTACCTAAATTATTAGGTAATGAATTGTATCCAGTTGTTAATATCTTAGTGCAGATGTTTTAAAACGTAAAGCGATTTACCTGTATTTTAGAGGATCCAACAGACCAGTATTTTTTCATGATGAGGTTTTTGAAATTTTACCCAAAATATGTTACTCCAATATTTCACTTTTCTCAACCACTAAACACAATGCATTACTATAAATGTTGGTTTAATACCATGGGATAATTAATCGAGATTGTAAATGCTCATTTATGGTTACTAACATTGGAGGTACATTTATTGTACTAAACCATTTGGTGAGTTTTTTGTTGGCTTGCTTTAAAAATTATTACTGTATGAAATAGTTTTATAAAACAAATTATATTTTTATTCAGTAATTTAATTTTGTAAATGCCAAATGAAAAGATGTGTCTTGCTGCTATGGTCTTAGCCTGTAGACATGCTGCTAGTATGAGAGAAGCAGTAGAGCTTTGGACAGAGACTTGGTGTTAGGTAATTGACTATGCACTAGTATTTCAGACTTTTTTATTTTTTATATGTATACTTTTTTTTTTCCTTTTGTAATACATTGGAAAACTTATTTGGGAGATTTTTGCATTTGTTTTTTGTTATTTTTTGTTGTTGTTAACTGTGGTTCATAAGAGCATGGATTGCACTTATTTTTTGGGAGATTTATGTTGTTGGTGTTCTATGTTTTGTTTTGAGTTTCGCCTGACTGTTCCTTAATTCAGATGTATGTGTTTGATCATTCCTCTTGGTTTTGAAGTGTCTGGTCTGAGAACTACCGCACATGTGGAACCTGTGTTTGCGGCTAGGCTGGAGAGACTAGGGTCCGTGGCCAGTGGCTGCCTTAACAGCATTTGGTACATCATCACTAGCACTGAATTTTTGATACGACAATGTACTTACTGCCTTGTAGTGAAATAAAGCCGTGCCATTATTTTACCTACTTTTGACTTCTGTCTTACTTGGGGTTAGTGGATGTTCTTATCTATACTAATAAAAGGGTAATATGCTAATCAAACCAGGAGACCTTCCGGGAGACCTTCCAGATGTCCTTCCAGACAAAGCCATGGTGGCGGGGCTGAGGCAGAGGTGTTAGGGGCAATCAGGCCAGGAGAGGAGGGCAGTTGGGGGTGAGCAGGCTGGCAGGGGAGGTAGTTGGGGGTGATCAGGCTGGCGGGGGGGGAAGTTGGGGCGATCAAGCCAGTGGGGGGGGGCAGTTGGGGGTGAGCAGACCAGCAGGCAGGGCACTTGGGGGTGATTAGACTGGCAAAGGGGGGCAGTTGGGGGTGAGCAGGCTGGCAGGGGAGGTAGTTGGGGGTGATCAGGCTGGCGGGGGGGGGGAAGTTGGGGCGATCAAGCCAGTGGGGGGGGCAGTTGGGGGTGAGCAGACCAGCAGGCAGGGCACTTGGGGGTGATTAGACTGGCAAAGGGGGGCAGTTGGGGGTGAGAAGGCTAGCAGGGGCAGGCAGTTTGGGCTGAGCAGGTCGGTAGGCAGAGTGGTTAGGGGCAATCAGGCAGGCAGGCAGGTGAGCAATTAGGAGCCAACGGTCCCGGGTTGCAAAAGGAGTCCCAGATTGGAGAGCGTGCAGGCTAGGCTAAGGGCCGCCCCCCACACACACACGAATTTTGTGCACCAGGCCACTAGTACTTTTAAGAAAAGGGAATGAACTCAGAATTCTTTTCTTCTGCTAATTTTCACACCATCTGAACTTCACTTGAAAAAGCCAAGCGTCACCACTTTGGAAAAAAGACAAGAAAACCAAGTTCAGTAGTTCACAAAGAAGCATGTGTGCAATGACAGCTGGGAGGACTCTTGCAGTATCAGCAGAGTTCCAGTGGCATTTGAATTGGGATAATCCGAGGGGAGTTCATTTGCAAGAGTACTGATACCACGGATGTGAGCAAGGCATAGGAGGACTGCAGGAGTAGTGTGTGCCCATGGGTGCAGGCCTGGAGAACACCGCCCATGCAGGGGGAGAGTCATAGAAAGCAAGAGGCCTTCAGAGGATCCACAACCTTTGGGACCTGACAGGGAGATTCAAGAGAAATCCTTAACTTTCTTTCCCCCACCCCTCTTGTCTCTGCCATGGGTCCTCCTCGTTGACAGAACCAAGCAGAAGTTAGAGGGCAAGGGAGCACCTGGACATAAGGCAGCCAGCCAGCCTCCTAGGGCAGAGCCAGAGGACATTAGCTGTCGGGGCAAGGACAGAGCGTCCCTGCCAGTCATCCAGTCCAACTCCCTGTTTTACAGATGAACTTCCACTGGCTGCCATCTCTCATTTTGGTGTTCTTTTCACTGCTTTACAATATCCCTTGCACACGGGTTCCTTATCATTTCCTTTAGTCACCCTTTTCCAACTCAGACTTTGAATTCTCATATACATGATGCACTCGGTGCTCCTGGAGCCAAGGATTTGTTACTCGTCTTCAAGACTGTATAGTGTTCTTTGATCATATTTCTGATCGTTGATAACACGCCATGCCAGTGTTAGAAAGCTTGTAATATTCATGCACTCTCAAAGTATTTTCCAGGTGCCACTTACTAGCATTTTGAACTTGGACAAGTCACTGACCTCTCTGTGCCTTGTTTCTTCATCTATGAAGTGAGTTCACTCTTATAATGACTCTTGTTAAATAAAGCACCATGCAAATGTTTGTTATTACATATGCCTTCCATAATTCAGTGGTGCATATCATGTCGTATGTCTAATGTTCATCTGGCTGATAATGTGCACTGCCAATTACAGAGTTAAACTCAGTGGTCACATTACAACTATTAAAATAAACTAAAGGCAAGAGTGAACTCAGCATTACACAGAACTGAAGTAAATATTTACTTTTCCAACAAGTACGTAATCCAATAACTAGAAACTAAAAACTTAAACTAATGAAAAAGTAGTGTAAATTTAGGTTTTATGTACAAATACATTCACATAACACCCATTTCACAAGCATCTCTAAAGCATTTATTTGTACTGGTCATTTTTTTAAATCCTCCTGCTTTCTGCAGCAGAGATTCCAATAGTAAAATAAATGGAAACAGTAGTACTTACTGCTCAGAGAAAGGTTACCCTTTGAGTCACTATGTGTAAAGCTTGTGTCCACATGTGCACATCAGGAGAAGAGGAGAGACACTGAGAAGCCTCTGAAGTATCTCCCAGCCACTAGTGAGACTGATAACCCAAGAAGAGAAATATGTGCAGGGAAGAACTTTGTTTCTTTAGAAATTATCCATTATTAGAACTGGAAAAGACCTTAGCCATCATAAGGGGCTTATGATAAGGGACTTGCCACATTGCTTTATTGAAAGAAAACCCATTTTGGAGCCTAACCAGTCTTGGTTTAAATTCAGACTCTGCTCTTTATGACCTCTGTGACTTTGTATGACCTTTACTTAATCTCTCTAAGTTTTGTTTTACTTATATTTTACTTATATTGGAGATAAGCTCAGCCAGTGTTGCTCAGTGGTTGAGCTTTGACCTATGAAGTAGGAGATTATGGTTTGATTCCCAGTCAAGGACACGTACCTGGGTTGTGTGCTCAATCCCCAGTGGGGGGCATGCAGAAGGCAGCCAATCAATGATTCTCTTTCATGACTGATGTTTCTATTTCTCTCTCTCCCTTCCTCTCTGAAATATATATATATATATATATATATATATATATATATATATATATATGTAATTTTTTAAAAGTACATCTCAAGATTTTGGGTGCTGTGAAGATCATGTGAATTACTACATGCATTCTTGCATCTTTGTAAAATGTTGCAATACTTGTTGATTGGGCAAGTCACTCTGATGACTTACAATCAAAGGAAAAACATGTCTGTTACCTATCAACAAAGAGGTGAATATCCCTATTGGGTGTGTGCTAAATTTATTCTTTGTATAAAAACTAACTTCAAATCTAAGTTATGTCTTCTCAAAATATTCCTAATCATTCTAACATGTATTTAAATATGCGGGGAATATGGGTTATAGTTTTTCTTAAACTTGTTGGTTTCTAATTTGAAAAAGAAAAACTATTTAGTAGGTAAAATGTGATGTGCAATTCTACTACACATTTAAATACAAGTTTTGGTGCTTATTTTTCTCCTTTTACCGTTGCTACTGTATGATAAAAATCTTCCTCAATCACCATTTTTAGAGGATAGAGTTGAGGAAAGGAAGTCAGCTAAAATGCAAACCTCTTTTTTTAATTGAATTTATTGAGGTGATATTGATTAATAAAATTATATAGATTTCAAGTGTACAATTGTATAATACATCATTTTGTATATTTATTGTATAGTTTGTTCACCACCCAAAGTCAAATCTCCTTCTATCACCATATATTTGATCCCCTTTACCTTTTACTACCTCCCCGACCTGCTTTCCCTCAGGTGGCCACCACACTCTTGTCTGGCTTCTTTGTTCATTTGGCAAATCTTAATAAAATGAAGTTGACTTGTACACTATCATACATAGTAACTTTGGGAACTGCAGCAAGAGGAAGCTGAACTCTAAGTCTCAAGGAACTTGTTAGTGGATTGGTAATAAATAGGTAAGAATTCTTTTAAATTAACATTCAATGCAAATGTTCTCAATGCTAATGTGAAAATTGGAGACATTGGCATTTGCCTTGTGAGTCATATTTCTTTTATTCAATTTGCATATGTTCAGCACCTACTGTATGCTAAGTGCTATGTTTGAAGTGGGGGTAGAACTTGAACAACATAGATAAAAAAGTCCTTGCCTCCCATGATCCTATGTTTTGCTGGCAGATACTGGTAAGTAAGTGGATTACAGTATGATAGTCACAAAGATAACAGAGACCAAGAAGAGCATCAGATCTAGACTTGGAGGAGCAACACAGGTTTCCCACAGAACTGGCATCCAGCATGACTAACAGATGAAGCCAAGTTAAAGTAGGGGCAGGAGTTGGAGGGGGCAACAGGGTGAGGTTAGATTTGACAGTTGCTGGAGGAAATATAATGACTTGTTTTATTTCAAATTCATGATGACAAATTGCAAATGGGCATTCAGGCAATTCTGCCCAAGGATATTCTCTAGTTTATTCTTTTCCCCATGCTCCAGACCACATTTTCACACCCCTTCCTCTCAAACCTCCCCATCACAACTCCACCCAATTCCCAGCTGATAACCTCAATTCATCCATCAAGGAGAAAACAGAAGTATTCACCTTCCTACACCAAAGTCGTTCACTGACCTGCACATGTACTGAAGTTCTTGCCTTCCCCCTCGCTAGCATAGAAGAGCTGCACTCATTGGCCAGCCCTTCCATTCGGCCTCTACAAAGCCATCCCCTTGTGTCCTTCAGGGCCTCATGCTGCAGATACTATCTCTTTATCCCACATTATAATGTCTTCCTCTCTCTGAAATGATTCTTATCTCACGGACACAGTCTATATCTCCCAGCAGTAAAATCTAATCCTCCCTTTATCCCCTATCACCATCATACAGCTCTATTTATCTGCTCCTCTTCTCAGCGTAACTGCTTAAGGGATCTTCTACGGTCATGGTCATCACTTTCTCTCGTTGCCTCTTCCTGCAGCCCACGCTGCATGAACTTTCATTGCCCCTACTCCACCTTGCTTGCCCTTGTCAGTGTCACCGATAGCCTCCATGTGGCCAAATTCTGTGCTCACTTTTTAGGCTCCATTTTACTTCACCTGTTCGGAGCTTTCAATAGAAGTGACACTCCCACTTTCTTGAACCACTTTCGGAGCACCACTCTCCTGGTTTTCCTCCTTTCTCACTGCTTCTTCTGTTTCCTACTCCACCTCCCCTTGGCCTTGAAGGGCCATTTCCACTTTCTTTCGATATCTTTTTTTTTCCTGAGGGATTTCATGATTTCTGTTGCTTTAAATACCATCTCTATCTTCCGTTCTTACCCCCTTCTGGGATTACAAACTCCTGTATCCTATTCCATGTTAATATCC